AAAATATTCAATCTCATTCAATACCCATCTTAGTTATTTACAATGTTATAATCAGATGTTTGTGAAAAATGGTAGTCCTAAAATCCAATATTGGTCTTTGGGAACTTAGGGAACAAGGGCTGTGGCCTGATAATTTCGCCTATCCTTTTGTTTTTAAGGCCGTCGGAGGCTTGGAGACGTTTTCCTAGGTCAGAAAAGTCATGGGTTGGTGGCAAAATCCGGCTTGAATTTGATGCTTATGTCAATAATTCACTTATAGATATGTATGTTCAGTGGGTTGGATTAATTGTTCGAAGAAGCTGTTTGATGAAATGCCTCGAAGAGATGTGATTGCCTGGAATGTGTTGATTTCTGGGTTGTTTAAGTCTGCGAAGTTTGAAGATGCTGTGACTGTTTTTGAGATGATGAGAAAAGAGGGTCTGGTTAAACCTAATGAGGCTACAGTTGTTAGTACTCTTTCACCTTGCACGGCACTGGGAAATTTGGAACTTGGCATGGATATTGCCGTGACGGAGGAACTTGAACTGACTACTACAGTGAGCTATCTTTGTTAGACCTGTATTGTAAGTGTGGTTGTCTAGATATGGTCAGGAAACTTATGACTAGATGCCGAGTAAAAACTTTCACCTTGCACGGCACTGAGAAATTTGGAACTTGGCATGGATATTGCCGTGACGGAGGAACTTGAACTGACTACTACAGTGAGCAATCTTTGTTAGACCTGTATTGTAAGTGTGGTTGTCTAGATATGGTCAGGAAACTTATTGACTAGATGCCGAGTAAAAATGTTAATTGTTGGACCAGTATGTGTGGCTATGTAAATTGTGGTCGGCTGACTGAAGCTAGACTGTTTTTTGAGAGTACGGTTAGGGATGTAGTTCTTTTGCCTGCTATGATTAATGGTTATGTGCTGTTCAACCGTTTTTGACAAGGCAGTCGAACTGTTTCAAGAAATGCTGATTCAAAGGTTAAACCGGATAAGTTTTGTTTTGGTTTCTCTCTAACAGAAAAAGAGGGGGAGAAGTTCAAGGCTCGTTTGGTACGAAGGGTTTTTCACAGCAGAAAGGAGTTGATTATGATGAAATCTTTTTCTCCTGGGTCAGGCACACTTCAATCCGAGCAGTACTTGCATTGGTGCTAGTTGGGATTTGCATTTAGAGCAGATGGATGAAAACTGCTTTTTTGCATGGTGATTTAGAGGAGCAGATCTACATGCGACAACCTGAGGTTTCACTCAACCTGGAACGAGCATTTAGTTTGCAGATTGAAGAAATCTTTGTACGGGTTGAAACAGTCTCCGAGACAGTGGTATAAACGGTTTGACTCCTATATGATCAAGATTGGCTATAACCGATGTGAGTATGATTGTTGTCTATGTTAAGAGCCTTGATGATGGTTCTTTATTTTTCTATTACTGTATGTTTGATGATGTTGATTGCTGCGAAGAACATGGATGATGTTATCGGTTTGAAACTTTATTGAGTCAGAATTTGATATGAAAGATTTAGGTGCTGCAAAGAAAATTCTTGGAATGGAAATTTGCAGGGACAAAGGAAACTGCGGCTCTCAACGGGGTTATGTTGAGAAATGCTAGAAAGGTTTGCGATGAGCACGCAAAACCAGTTAGCACTCCATTGGCGAATCACTTTAAGCTCTCATCAGAACAGTGCCCCAAGACAGATAAGGAAGTTGAAGATATGGCAAAGGTTCCGTATTCTAATGCTGTTGGCTGCTTGATGTATGCGATGGTATGTACTCGTCCTGATTTAGCTCATGCTGTTAGTCAAGTTTGTAAGTACATGTCTAAACCTGGTAAGCAACTTGGGAAGCAGTCAAGTGGATCTTTCGGTACTAAAGGGTACTGTGGGACATGGAATTGTTTTTTGGGAGTCAGCGGGATAATCCTTTGGTTGTAGGATATGTGGATTCAGACTATGCAGGTGACTTGGATAATAGAAGATCTACGACAGGGTATGTCTTTACTCTTGGTGGAGGGCCTATTTGTTGGAAGTCTACTGTTCAATCTATTGTGGCTCTATCTACAACTGAAGCTGAGTACATGGCAGCGCTGAAGCTGCAAAAGAAGCTTTATGGCTTACTGGTTTAGTGAAGGAGTTGGGTATTCAACAAGGTGGAGTTCAGTTGCTTTGTGATAATCAAAGTGCTATTCACTTGGCTAAGAATCAGGTGTATCGGCTAGAACTAAACTATTGATGTAAGGTTCCACAAGATCAGAGAGTTGGTTGCATCTGGAGGTTTTGTTTCAGAAGGTACATACTGATGAAAATGCCGCTGATATGTTCACTAAGCCAGTTACGACAGACAAGTTCAAGCATTGCTTGGACTTGTTGAATGTTTCGAGTTGTTAAAGAATCAAGGTAACCCAACCCACATTGAATTTTCAAGAGGCAGGATATTCGCCAAGGTGGAGATTTGTTAGGTATGGCTCATAAATATACCGTAAAGAGGACAGGAGATGGAGCGGATGAGCGAAGCGAACATCAACTGTCCTTACAAAGAAAGTCGTTGTGGGGTTATGAATTATGTGGGTTGGGGGGGGGGGGGCGTAGCCCCCGCGTACGGTACAGGGTTAATTTTGTAATTATGTACCAGGGTTTTCTATTATAAATAGAGATGTAACCTAGACCTAAATATCATTGAATAAAACTTCTAGCCCGCCTAGGCACCGAGGGACAAGCACATTGCCGAACCTCGTAAAATTCTCGTGTTCTTTTGTTTTCTTTACCCGTTTTCGTCAACAGTAAGTGTTTTCAATTTTTCTGGAAAATCCAATTCATTATGCTGGTTTCAATTTTAAGGTTTACTTATTCATTTATGCCTGATATGGTTGATCGATTCCATTGGCATAGTGTATCTTTGGTAAGAATTCTACAACAGAGAATATACCAATGACAACTCCCATGTTCACCGAGGCACTTGATCCTGCATTGTCTGATGTATCCATCCAAATTGTTCTTCCATGGGAGAAAGATTTAAGCAGGTGAGGCTTCTCGGTTTTATAGGGGTCTGAAACATTCTGCTGTGTAAAGACAACAATAACCTTTTTCTACTTCGATGCTTTTTTTTTAAAGCAACTAAGCTGTGTACTGTACTTCAACAGTCTGCCAGATCCTAATCAAGAAACAGTTAACTTGAGAAAGGTGGAAGGGGGGATTACCGCAGCATTGAAGTTCGGAAAACAGACAGAGAAGCTGTTCGTGAGAAAGAGAAAGCACTGCGTTCTAGCCTTATTAAGATGGTCTTAAATCAAAGATGGGCTGTTTGCTTGCACGCTACAATGATCCGGGACAAACATGGAGCTTTAAGATGGTATGATTTTGACTTTCCTTAATAATTATGCTTCATAAGTAATCTAATAAAAGGCCATTTCTCTTGAACGTCCTCCTAAACTTTGATCATGACAAAAGTTAATTAATCAAGTTCCCATAACTGCTGAATTTAGCCATGAATCTTCCGTTCTTGAACGAGCACTATTGTATGCATACTTTGTAATTTGCTTCTTTGATGCATACTACTTGGTGGTGCCCCTTAGATAATTGCTACTTTTCTTCGCTTGCTGACTTATTGGGACTCATCTTACATGTTACCTAAGAAACAAGATAGGATGTCCTTTATAGTGTTTTTTTACTTTATATACTCACCTTAGTTTCTGATTCCATCTCTACATTGTTCTATGGGGATTGCATTGAAGAGAAACGAAGTTCTAATTTGGCTTGAAGATTTCTCATTGGATTAACAAGATTATCACCTCGGATCGTTATTTTCCCGATCTCAAATCGTCTGTGACAGCTTAAAATGTTAATTAAAGAAACATAATTTGCGGCTTCTGGTACCTAAGCAACTTGCAGTAAAGCATTTTATTCTTGCCAAAGGTCATAGATATGTAGCAAATTAAACTATCCAGGAATGAAACTTGTAGAGGCTGATCAATACCAGCGACCTGTTAAGAGACTGAACTGATCTGTATACAATTCAAATATGTTATTACCACTCTTTTTCGAATAATAGTCTTTTAATGCCATCATCATTAAGGAACCTACCTGAGCCATGGATCGAGCCGGTCAAAAAAGTCCATAGTCTGTTACATATTAAATCCTTAATCCTTTGCCGTTTTAGTTGGAGATTGAAGAGAACTAAGCTCAGAAATCTGATGCTCCTTCAAAATCGGCTTCTGTTATTTCACTTAATTTCCCGCCATTACATATTATCAAAGTCGCGCCTTTTCTCCTTTCACTCTCCACTAACCAAACAGTCATGCATCTCTCTTCTCAAAAGCTGCAAATCCATGAACCACCTTAAGCAAATCCAAACCCAAACCTTCCTACTCGGTCTGCACTAAGACAGCAATACTCTCAACAAGCTCATTGCTTTTTGTACGGACCCATCTCTCGGGGACTTCCAATACGATGTAAAAATATTCAATCTCATTCAATACCCATCTTTAGTTATTTACAATGTTATAATCAAGATGTTTGTGAAAAATGGTAGTCCTAAAATCCAATATTGGTCTTTGGGAAACTTAGGGAACAAGGGCTGTGGCCTGACAATTTCGCCTATCCTTTTGTTTTTAAGGCCGTCGGAGGCTTGGGAGACGTTTTCCTAGGTCAGAAAAGTCATGGGTTGGTGGCAAAATCCGGCATGAATTTGATGCTTATGTCAATAATTCACTTATAGATATGTATGTTCAAGTGGTTGGATTAAGTTCGAAGAAGCTGTTGATGAAATGCCTCGAAGAGATGTGATTGCCTGGAATGTGTTGATTTCTGGGTTTTTAAGTCTGCGAAGTTTGAAGATGCTGTGACTGTTTTGAGATGATGAAAAAGAGGGTCTGGTTAAACCTAATGAGGCTACAGTTGTTAGTACTCTTTCACTTGCACGGCGCTGGGAAATTTGGAACTTGGCATGGATATTGCCGTGACGGAGGAACTTGAACTGACTACTACAGTGAGCAATCTTTGTTAGACCTTTATTGTAAGTGTGGTTGTCTAGATATGGTCAGGAAACTTATTGACTAGATGCTGAGTAAAAAACTCTTTCACCTTGCACGGCACTGGGAAATTTGGAACTTGGCATGGATATTGCCGTGACGGAGGAACTTGAACTGACTACTACAGTGAGCAATCTTTGTTAGACCTGTATTGTAAGTGGTTGTCTAGATATGGTCAGGAAACTTATTGACTAGATGCCGAGTAAAAATGTTAATTGTTGGACCAGTATGGTGTGTGGCTATGTAAATTGTGGTCGGCTGACTGAAGCTAGACAGTTTTTTGAGAGAAGTACGGTTAGGGATGTAGTTCTTTTGCCTGCTATGATTAATGGTTATGTGCTGTTCAACCGTTTTGACAAGGCAGTCGAACTGTTTCAAGAAATGCTGATTCAAAGGGTTAAACCGGATAAGTTTGTTTTGGTTTCTCTCCTAACTGGATGTGCTAAATTGGGAGCTCTCGAGCAAGGGAAATGGATTCATGGATACCTTCGTGAAAATGGAATTGTTGTAGACACTGTTGTTGGTACCGCCCTTATAGAAATGTATGCAAAGTGTGGGTGCGTTGAGAAAGCTCTAGAGATATTTCTATGGGTGAGGGAAAGGGATACTGCCTTTTGGACTTCAGTTATATCTGGACTGGTAATTAACGGGGAAACAAGCAAGGCACTTGAGTTATTCTCGGAAATGAAACAAACCGATGAAAAACCTGACAATATCACCTTTGTAGCTGTTTTAAGTGCTTGTAATCATTGGGGATTGGTTGAAGAAGGTCGTAAGGTTTTTGAGTCCATGTCAAAAGTGTACCAGATGGAACCATAGTTGGAACACTATGCGTGTCTGATGACCTACTCAGTCTAGCTGGACTATTAGCTCAAGTTGAGAAGTTGATTGATGATTTACCAAGCAAAGATATGAAACCATGGTTCCACTTTATGGTTCCTTGCTTGCTTGCAAGACCTATGGAAATGTTGAGATGGGAGAACGGATAGCTCAACGGCTTGTAGGAATTGAAACAAGTGATTCCAGTATTCATGCGCTTCTTGCCAGCATCTATGGGAAGATGTAAAAGGGGTTAGAGAAAAAGTGAAAGATCTTGGAGTCAAAAAGGTGCCTAGTTGTAGCTCATTAAAACCAATGGTGCAATAACTTGATAATAGAACAGTCTCTTGATCATATACTGCCCAATAGGGAATACATCGGCGTTTTTGGTACATTCTAAGTGATTATTGAACAGTTACTGAACAAGCTTCAACATTTCTGTCAGAGTGACAATGGAGAAATAAATGTTGAGCACACTCAATATGTTTCAAGAGGAGTTTGTGGAGGCATCCTAGTCAATCATCAAGACATCAACTCCATAAGGCACGAGTTTACGATTGTCATCTTCTGCAGACAACACCGTGTTCGTATTGCTAAGAATCTCCTTATCCCGTGTTTGAAAATTTTGTTTTAGATGGAAAACTGGGTTGTCCAGCATTTTTTTTTTGAAGAAATCAAATAATCAAGTTTGTTATTGGATTTTCTTCATTGTTTAAACCTGAGAATTTGTAATGTTTAAGTTGAAGCTAATGATCCACTGTCATTCAATTCAGCCATGGTTGCATGGATAAAAAAACTGAAGCATGTTTTCAGGACAACAGCTTGGCATGGGCCCTTAACACCATGTTTCAAGAAGACAAAAGAGAAAGAGTCCATGTGAATTCCAGTTGGTAACCACGTGACCAAAGTGTCATCCCGTTTGCTCCTATGCCCATCATTTAGCTTTGTCTTAATCCATGTATGAAAGGAGTAAATTAGACATAATAGCGCCAATCTAAATTGAATTCCAAGTTCCGGAGTCTTTCCCCAACTTTTCCCCATAATTAAAAATTACAATTCAAATGTGTTCGAAAAAAAAAGTCTTTAAACGACAGCGGGATGCGCCAACCCAGAAAAAGAAAATTAAGATTTTGAATTCTATTTTTCTTTTTAATTGGACCACTTCATTATTATTTTTTATTACTCAAATTGATTTCACACACTATTCAACAAATGTGTTCGAAAAAAAAAAGTCTTTGAAAGGAAAGCAAAAAAAGTTGACTGAAATTTCCAGCCGCCCTGATGCTTTAAACGACAGCGTTTTATATTTCATTGGGCCGTGATCCCCGAGAGAGATTCCAGAGACGGCGCTGCCTCTTCAAGAAAACGCGTTTCAGATACGCTACTTCTGTACATTTGTTTGGCTTTTGTTCATCATTCACATTGCTCGTCACGTTCATTTCCTTCCTTCTCCTCGTATTATAGTCTTCTTCTCTTTGTAGCCGACCTCTATAGATTCAACTCACCTTCTGTGGCTTTCGGAGATATAGGTCAGTTTTTTTAAATCTGGAGTTTTTTCCTTTTGTAATTCCATCAATAGTTGCTTGTGAATTGTGATCAGGGTTTCCTTTTAGGGATCTTTTCTTTTGCCGATTGATCTAGACTATTGAAAAGTTGTGTTCTTTATGCAAATGCTGATCTGGGTTTGCAAAATCCGTGTAGATTTGACGTGAAACATCTATATGAAAAAGATGTTGCGTTATCATTTTGAATTTGTATTTAGCTTCTTAAGGACTATATAGCATTAAAGTTAATCTCTTGAAAGTTACAGAATTAATATCTAGACTAGGTACTGCTCACAAATATGAAGAAAGTTCATGTGAAAATATCTTATTAACTTGACCCTAGGAGGACTAGCTGTTTTTTCCTTTTCTTTGCCGGCTTTTCTTCTTGTTTAATGTTCTCTTTTATTTCTGATTCCTTTTTCTGCACCTGATCTAACAAATTGAGTTCAATTGTTCGCAGGGGAAACATGGCCGACTCAAAACCAGACCAACCTTTGATCCCACCATCATCAAGGAACCTACCTGATTTTAAGAAATCAGTTAAGCTAAAGTATGTGAAGCTTGGATACATTATCTAATCACCCACGGAATGTACCTTTTCCTTACCCCTCTTGTAGTTATAATCGCTGCTCAGCTCTCAACATTTCTGTCCAGGATCTTTATGATCTCTGGGAGCATCTTCAATTCAACCTCATTTCTGTCATCGTCTGCTCGACGCTTCTTGTTTTCTTGCCGACCCTCTACTTTCTGACCCGCCCTCGCCCTGTTTATCTTGTCAACTTTGCTTGCTACAAACCGGAGGAATCTCGGAAATGCACAAAAAGGATGTTCGTTGATCATCACAAATGACTGGTACATTCACAGATGATAATCTTCAGTTTCAGCGTAGGATCCTTGAAAGGTCGGGGCTTGGGGATTCGACATATCTTCCGGAGGCTGTCCTCAATGTTCCCCCTAACCCATCAATGCATGAAGCAAGAAAGAAGCAGAGGCTGTTATGTTTGGTGCTATTGACAGCTTTGGCCAAGACCTCCGTAAACCCCAAAGACATTGGAATTTTGATTGTTAACTGTAGCTTGTTTAATCCAACACCATCATTGTCTGCCATGGTTATCAACCATTATAAGCTTCGAGGGAATATTCACAGCTATAATTTGGGAGGAATGGGCTGTAGTGCAGGTTTGATCTCAATAGATCTCGCAAAACATCTTCTTCAAGTCCACCCCAACTCCTACGCACTGGTTATCAGCATGGAGAACATCACCTTGAACTGGTACTTTGGAAACGACCGCTCGAAACTTGTATCAAACTGCTTATTCAGGATGGGAGGGGTGCGATACTTCTTTCTAACAAATGGTCTGACAAAAGAAGGTCCAAATACCAATGGTTCACACTGTTCGCACTCACAAGGGTGCAGATGATAAGTTTTTCCTGTGTTACCCAAGAAGAAGATTCTGTAGGCAAGATTGGTGTTACATTGTCAAAGGATCTCATGGCAGTTGCTGGTGATGCTTTAAAGACCAACATTACCACATTGGGGCCTTTGGTTCTTCCAATGTCTGAGCAGCTGCTTTTCTTTGCTACATTGGTTGGCAAGAAGCTTTTGAAGATGAAGATCAAACCATACATCCCAGATTTCAAGCTAGCTTTTGAGCATTCGCATTCATGCTGGAGGAAGAGCTGGTTTTGGATGAGCTGGAGAAAATTTGCAGCTGTCTGAATGGCACATGGAAACCATCAAGGATGACTCTTTACCGATTTGGGAACACCTCAAGTAGTTCTCTTTGTACGAATTGGCTTATTCTGAAGCCCAAGGGTAGGATTAGGAGGGGGTGACAGGACATGGCAAATAGCATTGGTTCAGGATTCAAGTGTAACAGTGCGGTGTGGAAAGCTTGAGGACGATAAATCCGGAAAAGGAGAAAAACCCATGGATGGATGAGATACATAATTTCCCAGTTGATGTTCCAAGGGTCTCGACCATCTAAATTCCAGGACTTGCTGCAATTGCAGTGTTATTTTCATTTAATCTCACTTTTTGACTTTTTGATTCATCACAACTTTTGCTTTTGCATAACACGGGATAAGTGATAGTTTCAGCGTTGGGTCCAGGACATGTTTGCATTTAGTTATCTAGTTTCCGAGTTATTTAATGGGAGTAGCTCGAGTGGGATTATTATTATTGTTGTAACAAAGCATTGATTAGAGGGTGTTATGGGAACATTTGACCATTCTTTGCTGAGATTATTTCATGAGAGGCTTGGCTATCTTCCGAGATCTCATCATTTGACCAGAGATTTGGAATGGGATTTGCAACTTGTTGCTTCATTTGACTTATGGATGGCATTGTTGACTGCAGCTCCTTCATACATATGCTATTAATAACAGTGTTATGATTGTAGCTATTCGTTTTAATCAGTTGAAATGAACCAAAGATTGCTTAGAGGCGGCTTATAGAGCAAACTAGTCCACTTGCAAGGGTAGAAACTGTCGAATGATTTAGTGGGGTAGTGAACGTTGCATGGTTGATTTAATGCTGAAAATACTTAGTCTTGATATTGAACACAGAGATCAATGACCAAGCTTTCACATAACCAATTGTCATGTGTTCTTTTTGGTACTCACTATTCTCTTGTTTTGTTGGCTAAATTTGTGGGAATTCAACCACTGCTTTAGGTTAAATAATCTTATGGTTTGAAGTCTCGAGTAAAAAGCACAAAAAAAATAGCAGTCTAGTCCTTGAATGACGTGTCAATGAGTGATTTGTGGATAGGAGGCAATTGTTACCTTACTAAGGGCATCAAGTTCCTCGTTATTCACACTAAGATCCATCCTTGCTTGCATTTCCAGGCTCCAGCCAACTCCAACACCTTTGTCTTGGGGCATTACGTTTTGCCATAGGATCCTGCTTGCATTTACAGCCCCAAAATAGGAAAAAAAAAAAGTAACGAGAGCTACTCAAAGGTCAAAACGAAAGAGAAGCTCCACCATGGGGGCCAATAAGAGAATTTCTTTGATGCATCCTATATGAATTAATCTACTTCATAAGAAGATCATCCCAAACCGATATGCAAGATTGAATCCGGAATAGAAATTAATGGTCAAGCAGAACATGAATAACATTAACCTGATTAATTAAAGCGCCCATGATTCAATAGATGCCATTATTATATCTTTTACATAACCACTGGTCTTAGTCCTGCATATGTTAAATGCAAGAAGATTATAAATATTAGAAACTACAGTTTGATCTAGTCTCTATCTCTTAATAAGAAAAATTATCTTCAAGATCTTGGATAAATGCGGTTATGAATCGACTGCAAAAACAAAGCAGGAAATCGTCACCCTTATTCCTTCACTGTTTCTTTCTCTTTGGTCTTGCCCTCTTCTGCAATATGGAAGTCATCAAATCTTGCGTGAAACGTCTTCGGTAGTTACCTTCACCTTCCCAACCGACCCATTTGCTGCAAAGG